TCTACCTCATTCAAATGCTTTTCCATGTAGTGGCGAGTAAGAAAAAAATAGAAAGAAAACTACCCCATATCTTCTCGTGGGTGTCGTAAGAGGCGACAGAGGGAAACTAAGACAGAAGATGGGCAACAGCATCCTTCTGATAACAGAAAAAATCAACAAAAAACTGCGGTTGCCAACCCACTCGCCAAGCGTGGCAACTATGGCAACCATGATGAACGACAAACAAACGGCCCCAGTTCCCGGTGGCTACGGTGGCGACCATATTAACGGCGGGGTAGGGGGTGCTAAGAATCTCCGGTGGAGGTTCAGCTGCCACCTAAGATGACTCGACCTGGCAACGTATGATGGACGCACCCTGAGGACTGACGAGAATATCCTGAAGCTGGAAGAAGAGATAGACAAGTTGCGCTGGGGTCCGAAGAGAGGGGGAGGACACGGTAATCCTTGAATCCGGCAACTTGTTCTATCACCGGGAGGGCGATCGTCTGTCCCAAGGAAGTGTCGGTTTTATTGTCTACAAGTCTCTCGTTAATAACGTTGTAAAGATCGGGTGTGTCGATGAGGGTTGCGTACCTTATATTCAGAATCAACAAACAGTATTCGCTGAAGGTCATACAGGTTTACGCTCTAACCTCGGCACATCCCGACGAGGAAGTAGAGGAAATGAATGAGGATATCTCTAGAGCCATACATTCCTCTAAAACTCACTATACGATTTTAATGGGAGACTTCAACGCAACGCAACTAGGCACAAGAGAGAACGGTGAACTGAAAGTAGAGGAATTCGGAATAGGGAAACGAAACCCTAGAGGCAAACAGCTGGCCGACTTTATGGAGAACGAGGGGCTCCTTATGATGAACTCTTTCTTCAAAAGCGGCCTCACAGAAAGTGGACCTGGTCGAGCCCCGAAGGTTCGAAAAAAAAATTAGTTTAACTTTATTATGATGACTAGATGGCAACTGTTCAGTGATCGCAAGGGTGAAAACTGGCAGCGATCACCGAATGGTTAGAGGTTAGTAGAGAGGAAACCGTTTTCAGTGCTTAGAAGATTGCAATGAAGTGGACACTATGAATGACAAGCTCGTGGAATCTGTCCATGCGGTCGGAGCTAAGTTCTGCAAGACTAGCTGCAGAAGAACACAAAAACTCTCCGATCACACTCTTAATCTCATGGCTATAAGACGGAAGATGAAGCTGCAGTCGTCAGCAGATGTGACAGCATACAGGCGACTGAACAGATCTCCAAATGCATACTGCGATGAAGAAGCGAATGAACGGAACCAGGACTCCAAAGTCATTGCCGGAGATCTGTCTGTCAGAAAGAGCCAACTGTCGAAGCAGAAAACCGAATGTGGCAGCATCGTTTCCGGGACCCCTCAGATTCTGAGTGAGATTGAGAGCTCTCTGAGTGAGATATAGGCAGCTGTACACGTAAAAATTTATATAATGAGTAGGCGGACTCGACGTCCGAAGAGCGCCTCAACGACTGCGACGCCGTTTCACGACGTCGTACTGTCGCCGTTGCTCTGACGGATATCGTGTCTGCCTCGATTTTTATCGTTGGCCTCAGATCAGGGAGGATCACCCGCCGAATTTAAGCATATTAGTAAGCGGAGGAAAAGAAACTAACAAGGATTTCCTTAGTAGCGGCGAGCGAACAGGAATGAGCCCAGCACTGAATGAGATGTGGTGTTCGGGAGGTTCCGCTTTCTCGTCGTCGATACTCCTGTCCAAGTTCATCTTGAACGGGGCCGTTTTCCCGTAGAGGGTGCCAGGCCCGTAGCGACGGAGGGCGGCGGCGAGAGGGACTCCCCTAAGAGTCGGGTTGCTTGAGAGTGCAGCCCTAAGTGGGTGGTAAACTCCATCTAAGGCTAAATATTACCGCGAGACCGATAGCGAACAAGTACCGTGAGGGAAAGTTGAAAAGAACTTTGAAGAGAGAGTTCAAGAGTACGTGAAACCGTTCAGGGGTAAACCTGCGAAACTCGAATGAACGAACGGAGAGATTCATCGTCATTCCGCGGCGTACGCGCTCGCGCTCTGATGACGTCCGTGTCCCTTTATCGGGGCGTCGGGCATCACGGGCCGGGCGCGTCGACGTCCGCGGACGGCGTGCACTTCTCTCTTAGTAATACATCGCGACCCGTTCGACGTTGGCCTAAGCGCCGTCCGGGAGCCCAGTCTACCCTTCAAAACGGACGGCTGGACCGTGACGGTGGCCGACCGGCCGTCGGATGGTAGAAGACACGAATCGCGCACGCGCACCTTATACAAAGCGCGTCCGGCCCGACGCAAGACAACGTCGTTATCGAGGTCCTGCCGTTGCGCGGACATCGGTGCGGCGCGTCTGTTGTCGCCGCCGTGCTGTCTCGGACCGTACGCGTCTCAGTCGGCGATGATTCAGTGACCCGTCTTGAAACACGGACCAAGGCGTCTAGCATGTGTGCGAGTCATTGAGTTACGTATAAACTGAAAGGCGCAACGAAAGTGAAGGCGCGCGCTTGTCGCGCGCTCAGGGAGGATGGAACGTCGGTCTCGATCGACCTCTCGCACTCCCGAGGCGTCTCGTTTCCAATCCGTGAATGTAGATCTGATGACGGTGCCAAGTGGGCCAATTTTGGTAAGCAGAACTGGCGCTGTGGGATGAACCAAACGTAGTGTTAAGGCGCCTAAAAAACGCTCATGGGACACCATGAAAGGTTTTTGTCGCTCATGACAGCAGGACGGTGGCCATGGAAGTCGGAATCCGCTAAGGAGTGTGCAACGACTCACCTGCCGAAGCAACCAGCCCTGAAAATGGATGGCGCTGAAGCGTTTTGCCTATAGGTGCGACGTGTTCACTCATGCGTCATTACGCCGTAACGAGTAGGACGTGCGCGGCGGAGAGTGCAGAAGTGTCTGGGCGTGAGCCCGCCTGGAGCCTCCGTCGGTGCAGATCTTGGTGGTAGTAGCAAATACTCCAGCGAGGCCCTGGAGGACTGACGTGGAGAAGGGTTTCGCGTGAACAGTAGTTGCTCGCGAGTCAGTCGATCCTAAGCTCAAGAAGAGATCTTATGTCGATGTGGAGTGTTTTTTTTTCTTTCTAATATGAATTAGAGGATAAATAACGCCCTTTGAGCGAAAGGGAATCCGGTTCCTATTCCGGAACCCGGCAGCGGAACCGTTTCAATAATCGTTTCCTCGTTTCAAAGCGAGTGTTCGACGGGGTAACCCAAAGTGGCCTGAAGACGCCGCCGAGGGGTCCGGGAAGAGTTTTCTTTTCTGCCTGAGCGTTCGAGTTCTATGGAATCCTATAGAAGGGAGATATGGTTCGGAACGCGAAGAGCACCGCATTTGCGGCGGTGTCCGGATACTCTCTGCGGACCTTGAAAATTCAGGTGAGGGATGTACGTGGAGATGTCGCGCCGGTTCGTACCCATATCCGCAGCAGGTCTCCAAGGTGAAGAGCCTCTAGTCGATAGAATAATGTAGGTAAGGGAAGTCGGCAAATTGGATCCGTAACTTCGGAATAAGGATTGGCTCTGAGGACCGGGGCGTGTCGGGTTTGGACGGGAAGCGGATGCGGCCGGTGCCGGGCCTGGTCGATGCTCGTGCGTCTCTCGGGGCGTGCGGGCTGAATCCGGACCCGCGTTCCGGCCTTCCGCGGATCTTCCTAGTCGTAAGGTCGCGTCGGTTTCATTTCGTGCGCGATCGGCGCGCGCCTGTACGACCGCCGTTCAACGGTCAGCTCAGAACTGGCACGGACAAGGGGAATCGGACTGTCTAATTAAAACAAAGCATTGCGATGGCCCTCGCGGGTGTTGACGCAATGTGATTTCTGCCCAGTGCTCTGAATGTCAACGTGAAGAAATTCAAGCAAGCGCCGGTAAACGGCGGTAGTAACTATGACTCTCTTAACGAGGGACGTGAGTATGCTCCGAAAGCGGCTGTTGCGGGGTGACCGTCTCGTTGGCACATTCCTAATTCTGCGAGGCACAGCGCACATTTCCACTATAGTCTCCCGTTAGGTTGTCTCATCGCGGCTTTTTAGTTGCGATGTTGACATGCAAACGGGAGACTGTAGTCAGGCTTGTGAGCGGGTTTACTAGATTCGTCTCGTATGCGCAGCGTTCTCCATCTTGGAACGTAACCCGTGTGAGGTTCAGGGTAAGATCCCTGAACAGTCCCTATGGGTGGCATTTATGTCGCCAAGTCGAATCGCTGACTTCGGTCGGGACCATTGCGAGAGCGGTAGGCGATCCAGGTGGCTGGGCTTGCACCCCGGCCACATTGGGCAATTTACAAGCAACGGACAAGATGAGAATAAATGTATTATTTTGCCACCCCGGCCTCCCACAGGAGCCGGGGAGCTTGGCCCAATCTTCGGCCGCTCAAACTGGGGCTTCGGCCACGGTTTCTGCGGTCTCTGACTGGACGTGTCCGGTGTGTGGACGTGTGTTCACCACCAAAACGGGGCTAGGGGTCCACAAGCGTAGGGCCCACCCCGAAGTAGCAAATGCGGAGGCCGCTCCAAACATGGTGAAGCGTAGGTGGCGCGATGAGGAGCTGGCATTGATGGCGCGTACAGAGGCGCGATTACTTGAAGAGACCGGTCGCTGTACGAACGCAGACCTGCTCCAAAGTCTGTCGGGGTTCGAACGGACCCTAGAGGCCATTAAAGGAAAAAGGCGCTGTGGGGAATACAAACGCCTGGTACAAGAGTGCCGGGCAGAAGACAAGGACAAATCCCCACCCAAGAGCAGCCAAGCGCCTGAGAGCAGGGGTTCGACACGGCCGGAATCCGAAAGTGTCGCGCTTTCTGTCCAGCCTCTGCCAGCTGAAGACGCACCGCCTGTCGCTGATGACCCATCACCGCACTACTGTAGTGTCCCAGATAACTCGTGTGCAGACCAAATTGTCGCGGATCTTCTTGAGAGGGTCGCGACACGGCCTGGGTTCCCGTAGTGCGAGGCGGCTCCGCATCTCGAACGTGACTCGGGCCGACACCGCACTGGCCGGTATGTCGAGCCGCAAGCGGAGGAGAATAGAGTACGCCAGGGTACAGGAGCTCTTTCGAACGTGTCCCAGTCGAGCAGCAGCCGAGGTGATCGACGGCGTGCACAGGAGCGTTCGGCATTCTCTCGAAGATTTGGAAGCCTATTGGCGACCAATCCTAGAGAGGGTGTCGGATGCCTCTGGGCCTACACCGTCTGCGCTGAACGCCTTAAGGCGGGAGGAGCAGTATGGGGGCGCACGTGATTACTCTCGGCTGTGGGTGCCTTTCACGACCAACGAAGTGAAGGCATCCAAGTTCAACTGGCAAACGGCGCCTGGTCCGGACGGTATCCGCCCGGATGAGTGGCACCTAGTTCCTGCGGCCCGAAAAGCGGAAATATTCAACTCTTGGTTGACCACTGGCGTAATACCAGAGCCCCTGCGGCAATGCCGGACGATCTTCGTGCCGAAGACGGACGTTCCTGCTGGGCCGGGCGACTATCGACCGATTTCTCTCAAGTAAGGCGATAACGCTCTCTTGAAGATCTACTGACCAAATTTCCCTTCTGGGCTGCGTCTGCGTGCTGTTTTCGAGAGTCAATACGAATCGTCTGATACGCAGACTCGATAGACTTCCAGCCTACCGAACAAGCTGGTTTCCAAAAAGGCGGCAGATTGTACAGAAGAGTATAATCTGCCACTTTGCCTGGCGTATGTGGACTATGAGAAAGCCTTTGATTCCGTCAAAATTTGGACGGTGCTGCAGTCTCTTCAGCGGTGCCAAGTAGACTGCCGGTATATCGAGGTGCTGAAGAGTTTGTACAGTAGGGCTACGATAGTTGTCCGACTACAGAACCAGAGTACGAAACCTATCCAACTGCAGAGAAGTGTAAGACAGGGTGATGTTATATCCTTGAAACTCTTCACCGCTGCATTGGAAGACGTTTTCAAGCTACTGGACTGGAAAGAATACGGTTTTAACGTCAATGGAGAGTACATCACTCACCTTCGATTTGCCGACGATTTAGTCCTTATGGCAGAATCGCTGGAGTACTTAAGCACTATGCTCAATGACTCCCAACGGCTAGGTCTTAAGATGAACATGGAGAAAACGAAAGTCATGTGTAATGTTGATGTCATACCTATGCCGGTGGTTTTTGGGAGCACTAAGCTCGAAATTGTTTACCTGGGACAATAGTCCGATTAGATAATTCCAACTTCGGCCGAGAGATCAATCAACGGATTCTGGGCAAAATATAAAATCTCAAAACTCGATTTTACAACCATTTGTATTGTATTGATTGTGCGTGTTGCCAGTGATGACCTATGGATCTGAGGCGTGGTCCTTTACTGCTGGCTGTATGAGGAAGCTCAAAGTCGCTCAGTGAGCTATGGAGAGGACTATGCTCGGAGTTTCCCTGCGTGATAAACTTAGGAATTAGGGTATCCGCAGTAGAACCAGAGTAACCGACATAGCCCAACCGATTAGTAAGCTGCAGCGACAATGGGTCGGCCATATAGCTCGAGGAATCGATAACCGATGGGAAAAAAGGTTCTCGAGTTGCAGTCTCGTGCCGCCAGGCGAAGTTTAGGGCATCCCCCCACTAGATGGAGTGACGACTTGCTAAGACATGCAGGAAGTCAATGGATGCAGGTGGTTCAGGACCGTGCTTTGTGGCATTCTTTTCCACATTAAAGTCCTTAACTTTGGTTTTTCCAAATGCAAATTCCTAACTTTGCATTGCTTGTGAGATAGAGCTGATGAAACTTGACTAATTTTCAAATTAAAACGACAATTATTAAAAAATTACGAAGTTAATAATGCTATATTTAAATTATTAAATTGGTTTAATGTTAATAATTTGCATTTAAATGGCCCTAAAAGTTAAAGTATGAAATTTATACTACCATATGTCCAACATCTAAAGTCGTCTGCAAAGAGAGCAGTGTTGACGACTGGGTCCTTCGGGATGTCATTCGTATAGAGTGTGAAGAGGGGCGGGGAGAGAACGTAGCTCTAAGGGACTGCAGCCCTGAGAGGACGCTGGGATCGGATTGGTGCCCGAGTGTTCGGGTCTGAAACCGACTGTTCAAAGTTTGTTGGCGGTGTGTTTACGGAGACGATTCAATATTATTCGTTCGTTAGCTTTCCCCAGTGTGGTGAGGAGAATAATGGGTCTGTAGCTAGAGGTAAAGTTGCACGGTTTCCATGGTTTCGGGATTTATATGACTTCTGCTTCTTTCCATATCCGGAAAAGAACAGCTGGAGAGAAGAGCGTTGGACATACGTATTAGGAGACAGACAAGAAAGACTGAGAGGGATTTCAGCAAACTGTTACTAATGTCATCGGGACCGGGTGCTGATTCCAGGTTTTTAATAGTTTCTGTGACTTCGTCAGCAGTCACAGAACCTAAGGGGAGCCTCCCCTTACAGGTGGTAAGGCAAACTAACGATCGACCACCGTTTCGACCTCTGTAAAGTGAGCGGGATCAGTGTTTTCCATGTTACATTCCACGTATATGGAGAAAATGATACTCCATTCGAGCAGTGCCTCGTGAACATTACATTTGTAATGTAATTTTAAATGGGAACGAGCTGAGTCTTTTTGATTCCACCATTTTTCTTGGAATCATACTGGACGCGAAGCTCTAATGGGGACCCCATATATCAAAATTAGCAAGCAAACCTAGTTTCGCAGCATATGCTCTAAAAATATTAGAAGTTTTACCTGTGTTGAAACAGCTAGTCTAGTTTACTTTACGTGATACGTGGTACTTTTACGTGATAGAGCCACGCTGCAGCTGTATTATAGTTGTAGCACGAATGGGTAGACTCGACCGGGGCAGGACCACGCTTTCACAGAATACCAGCGTGTTACGTATGATGAGTATAGAGAACCGGAGACCCTTTTTACTGGAATCGAGGCATTCCATCTTAATCCTCAGGGGTGACAACTCATTGGCAATTTGATTCTTAATTGAGGATAAATAATTCTGTGGCCTATGACATACATAATGTCATAGGCCACAGAATCCACTTACTTAAAAAACTTTAGCTATTTCCATAGCACTATTTCGTATGGTATTTTGCTATGGGGACATGCAATTGACACTGAAATTATCTTTGTTTTACAGAAGAGAGCTATAAAAGCAACTATGATTTAAGACCTAAAGAGTCACTCAGATAAAAATTTAAGGAAAATAAAATATTAACTTTGGGCTCTCAATCATCATCATCATCATCATTACAGCCCTTCACAAGTCCACTGCTGAACATAGGCCTCCCCCAAGTAATGCCACAAAGCACGGTCCTGAGCCACCTGCATCCATCGACTTCCTGCATGTCTTACAAGGTCGTCACTCCATCTAGTGGGGGTCACCCTACACAACGCCTACCGGTACGAGGCTGCCACTCGAGAACCTTTCTTCCCCATCGGTTATCGGTTCTTTGAGCTATATGGCCGGTCCATTGCCACTTCAGCTTACTAATCCGTTGGGCTATGTCGGTCACTCTGGTTTCACTTCGCTTTCACTTCGCCTCTCAATACATTTACGAAAATGTAAATTCCGTACACAAAAATAAACCAGTTTTACTAAAAAAAAAGTGATATTAATTCTTTAAATACTAGGAACAAACATAAAATAGTAGTAGTAGTAGTAGTAGTAGAAAATATATAAAATTTGACCTGCACAAGGTTCAAAAACTTTATTAAACTAAGATTGTATAAAAAGATAATAACTTCTGAGAAAGGTAATCTTTACCAAGCTATTTCTAATTTGTTTTATGTTGTTAATTGTGTAACATACATGATCGTATGCTGTTATTGTTTTTAAAAAGTGCCACTGGTTTTCTTGCCAGTTCTTCCCAGGACAGAGGCTTTTCCCGAAGTTGTAAATTATAAGAGTGGCCTATAATAAGAATTATATTTCACGGCTTTTTTCTTTGCGATTTGCACGGATTTAAATAGTAATTTTTTTTTGTATGATATTCCTACTAATGGTGGCAAATTTACCCTTGCCTAGCTCGGGTCGCGTGTTCCCATTCGAGTCAAGTTTAAACAGCTTAGTAGTACTGATGAGCTAAAGGAACGAACCAGTTGCTGTCCGAAATGAACTAGTACGGAGCAATCATTACAATGACCGAGCAGGCACAAGACTACTCATCCCGTCACTAGTAACAAATTTTCATCATTTTCCATACACCTTAGGCTGTCGTACAAATATTCACATTGCGAACTTTTTAATATTATAATAATATACAATAAAATATCAAAATTATTAGAAACAGCATCATCACAACGATTCCTTATATTATCATCAATTATTTATTTAACTTATACAACTTTGAAATTAACAATTAATACATATAGGAGTCAGTGTCATAAAGAGTTTAGTACATTCTCCATATCTGTTTTAGAGACAGTTGCTTGGAAATATTGAATGTCCGAGAAAAACGTGTATGTTAATTTAAAAACAAGAAGGGAGAGTAAAACGTTATATAAAATAAGATTGGAAGGAGAGTTGGTTGAACAAGTAAATGAGTTTGTATAATATGTTCTATGTATAATAATCGTAGTTATGATAAAGATATAGAACGAAGAGTAAACGGACCTCTAAAGGAGGCTACAGATACCTTGTCTCCTTTGAGGACTGTGATGACATGCGTCACAGCCTAAAATTATAACGCCTGTACATATGAGATATGTAATCTCCTTCAGACAAGAACAAAGCAGGTCAACTAAGCAACAATTCTCTGTCGGTTAGAAAGTTGGAACTATCCAGACGGAGACTTAGGCAGAAAAATAATTTTACCACCTAGGACGAGACCACCTCTGATATTTGAGAGTTTCACTATGGTCATTAATGAAAGAGAAGCAGTAGTTTTCATTCTTGTTTCCATAATACTTAATTAATTGCAGTCAAAATAATAGGAATGATTATGCACAGATCACTGTTAGTGATGCAAATTAATATTTCTAATAATATATTTATTATTTTATTACTTCGCATGCATTATAACCATATATAAAAAAGATTTGGCTCCTAAAAGATTTCTGAGTAAGAGGAATCGTTAGTAACGTGAGTTCTGCGATATGTTTTCTAGATAATTAAAACGTCTAAAAGATTATGATCTTAATGTAATGGATTAAACGATTGAACTTATTTGGCTTTATAATTTTATAAATATACCTATTCAAGTGAGGATTAGTGTTATGCATTATGAATTGAAATATATTGATACGAGCTTGAGGTTCGTGACAGTAAATATTGCTGATAGAATTACCTAAATTAACAATTTAATTTTATTTACACCAATTAAAACTTAAAACACTAACAATGAATCACACTGATAGACTTTATTCCGCTCCGAAGCTTCGCTTGTCTCGCCAAATTCAATACTTCCCCGATCGCATCTTGCAGCGTCTATAAATACAAATTAGCACCGAAACATCCAGAATAGAAAGAGTTCGAGTGTCAGTTTCTAGTAGCTTAGTTCTTCGTTCCGAGACTAGATGGCGCTGTCGGTTGAAAGATTAGTGATGTCGTTTTCTGGACAGCTCCCCTCGCTATCGTCCCTGACACTAGATGGCACTAGTGCCGGGTACATGACGTCGAATTATTCGCGCAACACTGCCCCCTCCTAGACATGCTCGTCCCGAGCATTATCGCCCCCATAATAAAGCGCCAAGCGATCCACATGGACGATCTTAGGAGTCCCTCTTGCGCCTTTCTTTATCCGGTAGGTTACATCGTTGATCCTGGTTACAATCCGGTACGGGCCGTCCCATTTAGATTGAAGCTTAGGAGATTTCCCTTTGCTGCGGACTAGATTGTGCAAACACACTAGTGAACCTTCGTCGAACCCTTTATTGTTCATTTTGCGGTCGTACCGGGTTTTCATCTTCTCAGATATTTGCTGGCCCGATTGTCTGACATGCTCATAAATGTCATTCATTTTGTTCCGCAAGTCATTTGCATAATCGGTTATACTGCGTGGGGCATCAGGTGGTATCCCGGTGATCAGGTCTGCAGGCAGCCGTAATTCTCTTACAAAGTTTGCGAAAGCTGGTGTCACTGCTGTACTTTCGTGAACAGCGCTTCGATATGACAACAAAAACGGTCGTATGTGCTTGTCCCAATCTCGTTGCCGATTGTCTACAACTTTTGCTAGGTACCTCTCCAATGTCTGATTAAATCGTTCTACCATTCCATCAGATTGCGGGTGATAAGAAGTCGTTCTTGTTTTGTGAGTACCCATAACTCGGCAAGTTTCCTGGAATATTTGAGACTTAAAATTCCTTTCTTGATCCCTGTGAATCTCTAAAGGTACTCCAAAACGACAGAAGACTTCATGAACTAGCTTATCCGCAACTGTTGAAGCTTCTTGATTTGGAATGGCGAAGACTTCTGGCCACTTAGTGAAGTAATCCATCACAACAATGAAATACTTGTTACCGCTTTCACTCTCCGGGAACGGTCCCGCCACGTCAATGGCTATTCTCTCCCATGGTGCACCAACATTGTACAACTTCAATGCACCTCTACTACGTGTCTGAGGTCCCTTTACAGCCGCACAACTTGTACATTTACGACACCAGTCCTCGACATCGTTTCGACAGTGGACCCAGTAAAACCGTTCTCGGATCTTCAGTAGAGTTCGCAGATGGCCTCCTGAACAATCATTATGGTACGGCTGTAGAACATCCGGTACTTTAGCTTTAGGGACAACCATTTGCAAATGACAGCTGTCCCCCCGAACATTTTCCCATTTACGGCAAAGAACTCCATCCTGAAGCAGCAAGTGGTCCCATTGGGCCCAATAGCTTTTAGTGGTCGAACTCATCGCTGAGACGTCGCTCCACTTGGGCTTGGGAGCACTGGCCTTTATCCATTTCAGAATCGGCTTGATGTCCAGATCTTCCTGCTGTGCATGTAGTAAGCTGTCCTTCCACTCGTTGCTGAGGTGGTCTGTCCTGAGCATCTTCACGGATACCACTTCCTTACTCTCTTGCCTAGTACAATGGTTGCAATCTTCAGGACAAGGTCTTCTTGACAATGCAGAGCTTTTCCTGTGAGCTTTTCCGCTGCGATGTTCGATCTCAAAGTCGTGTTCCTGCAGTAGTTCAATCCACCTCGCAACTTGTCCTTCTGGATTTTTAAACTGCAATAGTCATTTTAGTGCAGCATGGTCAGTTCGTAAGTGAAATTCTCGTCCCAGAAGATATTTGCTAAATTGCTGCAACGACTTTACCACAGCTAGCAATTTGCGTCTTGTGACACAATAGTTCCTTTCCGGTTTTGACAACGACTTGCTGAAGTACGCTATCACGACCTCTTGGTCACCATTCCGTTGAGACAACATACCGCCAAGTCCTATATCACTTGCGTCTGTGTCAACTATAAATTCTTTGCTTGCATCAGGGTATCCCAAAATAGGTGTTTTGCACAGACGGTCCTTGAGCTTCTGGAATGCGATATTGCAACTTTCATCCCAGCAGAAATGTCGCTTCTCCTCGGTTAGCTTATGCAGAGGTTTGGCTATATCTGCAAAGTTCTTCACAAATCGCCGGTAATAGGAGCACAAACCCAAAAATGCTCTAACCTGCGTCTTGTCTTTTGGAACCGGCCAATCCTTGACAGCGGCGATTTTCTCTGGATCCGTGCGGATACCATCTTCCGATACTACATACCCCAAAAAGTTAACTTGCCTTTTGAATAGTGAACATTTCTTCGGACTCAACTTGAGGTTGGCACTCTGAATCTTCATGAGCACGCGTTCCAAGTTTTGAAGGTGTTCCTCAAACGTCCGGCCTACGATGATGATGTCATCCAAGTAGACCAGACAGGCATCGCCAATTAGCCCGGTAAGTACAAGTTCCATCAGCCTTTCAAACGTTGCTGGAGCACAACCCAAACGGCATTACTTTAAATTGCCACAGACCCTTTCCCGTCGAGAACGCAGTTTTCTCCTTGTCCTTAGGGGCAATTTCAACTTGCCTGTAAGCATGTCCAGCGTGTCATCAATTCTTGGCAAGGGATAGCTGTTCTTCTTCGTAACGTCGTTCAGACGGCGGTAGTCAACACAAAACCGCATGCTGCCATCCTTCTTCTTCACCAGCACCACTGGTGAACAGCTTTATTACCTGTTCCTGTCTTGGTTATTGCCCAAATTTACCAATTTCAATGAACTTTTTCAATCGGAAAAAGTAGTGATTACATGTTTAAACGAAAAGGTGCGCGAAATGTATAAAGATATTTTGCTATGTATTTTGGATCGTGATTATGTCAACAAAACTGAGCTTTCTACCATTGATAATGAATGACAAGAAAAATGGTTAAAAGATGATCAAATTTATTTGGGAATCCGAGTGATGAACAAAATTACACAGCCTGAATTTCGTCGTCAGATTTCTGCCACTAAGGAGTTTTTTCATCGCTGTTGGCATTTTCTAGTCACAAGCGCTAAAGAAATTAAAAAAGATATGACATAGATGATCCCATTATGTCAAAAATAGACTGTATTGAACCTACCAATGCTGTTGCTAGTAATTACAGGAATGAAATACCTACCTTACAGCCGCTTATGATACTTGTTCCAAGAATCGTAAAACCCGATGACTTTCAAATGATGCAGGCAATAGATGACGAATGGCGCAGTTTTCCCAATATTTCAGATAAAATTGATTTATCTATGAATACCGACGAGTTTTGGGGCATCATCAAAAAACAATTTGAGAATTATAAAACACTGGCTCAATTTGCCTTAAATTTGTTATGTTTGCCCCATTCTAGTGCAGATTGTGAAAGAGCATTCAGCGAATTAATCTTAATAAAAACAAAACTTAGAAACAGTCTATCGAATGAAACACTAAAGGGAACATTATTAGCCAAACAATTAATAAGAAGAAACGAAAATTGTACGAAGTTTAAGCCAACAAAAGAAATGTTAAACAATATGACCACAGAAAATTTGTATAATTCTAATAAATATTTTTTTTTAATTGTGTAGTTTTAAATTTTTATTTAAATCTTTTTTTTTTGTTTTGTTGTGTAGGTATACATAAGGCATCTGCTAAATAAATATATTTTCTTTCTTTATTTCTTTTATTGCTTTTCTTTTCTAAAACTAAACGATTATTTGTTATTTTTAATAAAAACTTTGTACTTATAAGTTGTACGATCTTTTCATTTCTAAATTTCCTTGGCATACGATTTTTTTTTTAGTTGTCGTATGATCACACCATTTTTGCACCTGGCAGCCCTGGTCTGATTTTGAAGTTTTGAATTGAAACGGCGAGTTACCTAAATGGAACGTTGATCTAAAGTCGTTTGTAAATCTAATGTTTTGAATAGATATACAATCTTTATAATAATTACATCATGCAACAAAAATGGAAATGCATTATTGCGAATTGGGTAAGATTACTGTTATGCCAAATAACAATTGAATTCATTCATGTCATATATATTTATTTATCAAACATTTCAGATCAACTGTTATTTCTATGATAACAACAATAAAAATTATTTTGAATTGAGCCACGAATCTTTGTTAAACATCATATATCAGTTACGAGAAAATTTTAAACTGGATGAGTCGAAATCTTCCATTTTTAGTGGACATTCTCTGGAGGAGTTTATAGAGGAAAAGTATCCTGGATTTAAATTTGAAAGTGGTACCGTTGAAGCGAATAACGAAGAAGAAACTTACATAGCCGCATCTCTCTTGCTTTTCTTTGTTTGTGTTAATTCTAAAGATGTGGATATTAAGAGTGCTATGTGTAGCAAACTCAGTACTAGTGATCAAGAAATAATATTAAAGTTTAGTAAAAGTTTAATGAAGTGTTCATTAGTTTCTTCCAGTGATGTGATTGCAGCAATAACAGGTCAGTTACATTTTTAATTTACTTATATAAAATAAAGATGCACCACATAATAGTCAACTCATTAATTTGGACATCTTTCCTTTGATAAACTAATCAGAAATTTGAAGCCTTAAGTATAATTTTTCAAAGAAGTGTTGTAAAAACACTTATTTATCTTAAAATTCAACACTAATATTATCAGTAGAGAAAAGAATTTTTGTAAAATATTTTTGATTAAAAATCATTAATGATTTAAGTAAAATCTAGTACTTAAAATAAATTATATGTAAGTAAGGAGTGGCTTTCTTGTTAACAAAGAAGTCAGATGACTTCTTTGTTCTGTTAGAAGCTTAAATTACTTTTGCCTGATCTAGAATCTGGGGTTTCTGCTCAGCATTATAGACTTAAAAAAGGAAGTGTTCCGAAGTGTTCCCAGTATACTGCAAATGACGTCATTAATTAACCCCATATTTCACCATATTTGATATAAACAATCACCAGTATGGTGTCGATTTATAATGTCATTTGCATTGGCCAGTATACTGTGTTCTATTTCGGAACATACCCCAAATACTCATCATGCATTTTTTTGTCATTGTCATCAATATAAGGTAAATAATATTACTTAGTATTTGCTTCATATTTGAGTTGAAATAAAGTGAAATTTAATTTTTAAGCTTCATATTATTTATGTTTTCAAAAATTTTAAGTCTAGTGATTTAGTCTAGCTTTTTATTAAAGGATTTGGGTAAGGTTTGAACTTAAGCTGCCTGAATTAGGAGATGGTGGGGAGGGAGGCGGGGAGTTGCGGAGTTGCTCACCACTTCTCCCACCCCGCCGTACGTGTTTAGTTTTTTTTATAATCTTAAAAATCTCATTTTGAGAATATGTTTTTGTAATGTTTTTTGACTATAAACATGATTTATGAGGAGAAAGAGTTGGTGGAGGGAAGGCACATGCCACTCAATGTAGCAAATTCGAGAGAAGCTCAGTCCACGGAGCCTACTTCTGAATGGTTTGTCAAAAAATAATGGGATGGGCTTCTAACCTAACCTGTCCAAGTCGAGATGCCCTAAGTCCTGAGCTTGCTTCGCTCACTCTTACACTAAATAAAGCACCAAAATATTAACTTTTATAATCACTTCAAATTATAAACATAATTTATAGCCACAACCATTTGTAAAAAAGTATCCAGAGAGGTAGCAAAGTAGTAGAAAAACAGGTGAAGGCAGATAAAAATGTTAGGGAGCACATTCTCAAATACTCGGAAACAATGGAATGATGTAAAGTATATCTGTCACTATCAACAAAATAGCCGGCCTAGCGATTCATTTTATGCATTTTGAGATCACTGGCAAGTGCATAATGTCAAAAATGTTAGAATGTAGTTAAATGTATGTTCGATTTCACATTTAGTTTGTGATTTATCAATATTTTTAAAAATAATTAAAATACTTTGACGCTGGTATGGCAGCAAATTTTTTAAATTTTAAAAATTTTAAAATTATACATTATTTGGATGGTTTTTAAAATTAGTTAAAGCACAAAATGTGGTAGAGAGTTCTAAAGAGGGGTGATTTTTTCATTTGTAACAAATGCCTACTGTTATTATTATAACAGCAGCTGGCAGATGTTAGTTAAACGCAAGGGCCATTTAACCAGCTGTTTCCTGAACAGTTAGTAAAGGTGGTAAATTTTTTTTGTACATAAAGTTACAGATTTTATTTTTATTAAATTTCACTCCCTAAATTGTTGGTGTATTAATATTGATTTTTATGTCCTGTCAATAATTATATCATTTAGTAATAAATAAATAATATTTCATAACTCAAACTGTAATTAATTAATGATTAACTATAACTATTATAATTTAACTATAATTGCATTGATACTCAAAAGTTGTGGTTAGTGACTTTTATGTGCAAATTTTTTTTGGTATAATTAATATTCTGAAAAATCAATAATTTACATAATCACTTTCAATAAATTTTAGTAAAACAATTTTTATTTATATGTATGACTGCATTTTCGTTTATATGATTGGCTTGGTGGTTGTAAGTGTGACTGTTGATCATGTGGATCAAGGGTTTGTGTCCTGGTTCCAGTCAAATTCATTTAATTGGTTTCTCAGTCAAGAAATTCACAATATCAGTATAATGAGAAAATAGAAAGTGCTAGTGCTGTGCTTGCACATAGAATCACACTATATACTATAATCCTGTTCTGTTAAGATGGCTCTGTTGAGACTGGCTTTTGTTCGAAATTCAGTCTGGAGGATTTTTATTCATAGTGAAGCTAATTAATGTCTACAATGTAGGAAGCCATTTCACATAGTAAGATTCTCTGCTCAAGTGTGGTTTTACTATGTAAGTTAATTCAACATGAGCAGAGAGCAGCATGGTTGTGATACTACCAAATTGGAATTAAAATCTGGTTCCATACATTTTGGTTGTTTATTTACAGTCTATATTCATCCCACTGTTGGGGATGGGCTTCCTCTAATTTCTGAGAGTTTTTTGGACAAGCAAGTGTACACCATGGTGCCTTAATGTGTGTTGTTCAAATTCCGCTTAAGGCAAACTGCTCGGGGCAAACAGTAAAAAGGAGAGATGCAGGTGTACTGTCCGACTGAGAATAATTTGTATCTCCTATCTGGGGTACAAATTGGAACATTCTTTTGTGCCTCGGGCTGGGGTTTGTTATACGTCAGAGAGGACATCTGTTCTCAACGCCTCAGGAGTCTTGACGGTTCGGACCTGTCTATCCTTTGACTATGCGTAGACAGTGATGACTATTCTTATATCACCAGGTGTCTCTTTAGGTCCCATAGCAGTAATGCCGAAACAGGCCGACTTATAAACACCGTCCAAATGACTGCAGATTCCTTGCTATAGCTGATCCAATGCACAGAGATTGTTATCCTTGGCGATTTTAACGCCCATCATTCCGAATGGCTCGGTTCACGTCTAACCGATCATGCAGGGAGGTCTGTTTGTGACTTTGCTTTGGCGTATGGTCTGACACAACTGGTTGGTGGTTTCAGATGTGGCGGACCATGCACCTTCCCTTTTGGACCTTTTGCAGACCTGTCATCCAGATGGATATCATGTCTCTGTTCGCCCTTTGACCGCCCCTCTTGGCTCTGCGAACCATTCTCTGATCCAGAGTGTGGTGCCACTCATGCTCCCTTCGCGGTTGCGTTCTGTACGCTGCCGCCGCTTTTGGAATTACAGATTTACAGAATTGGGACGGAATGCGATCTTTCTTTACATCCTCGCTGGATGAACCCAGCGTTGTTGCTGACTCTGTCACTAATGTGGTGCTACAGGGATTGGAGCTATTTATACCATAATCTGTGGTATCCATTGGAGACATATCCCAACCTTGGTTTGATCGCTCCTGTAAGACTGAATTATGCAGTAAGAAGGAGTGTTATCAGGCCTGGGCTTATGCTTCGGCGGCTTGGGATGTAAACAACGGCAAGCTTAAAAAGAAGTATAACTTCCCGTCCAGCAGGCCTCTGTCACTCTTGCTACCTGCGTGAAATAATTACCTACAATTGCGAGGTGCCTCGAGTTGCCTAGGCAGTCGGGGTTAGCACGTTCTTGGCAATTGAATTTTAATGTTTTTAAATATTGTTTCGTAAATAATTTTTTGGAAATACTTATTGAAATAGCTTTTGTTTAGTGTTTAATATATTTAATTGTTGGATAAAATAGTTGTAAGAGTTTTAATTAGTGATGCAACGAATACTAATACGAATATTCGTATTCGCCGAATAATAGGCATTTACATTTATATTCGTATTCGGCGAATACTAATCATGAATATTTATCCTCGTACTACCGACCCCTCTGTGGAATCGTTTACCACCGGTGATTTTTCCGGACCGACTGACTTAGGGACCTTCAAAATAAGAGCTTACTCCTCTCTAAAGGGCCAACATCGCACCTGCAATTCCCCTGGTGTTGCAGTTGTTGATGGGCGGCGGTAGTCACTTTCCAACAGGTGAGCCGTATGCTCGTTTGCCACCACTTCTATAAAAAAAATATGGCTAGTCTCCATTAAGACTGGCCGCAGTAAATGAAATTCGGTCTACAGGACATTCATTGCAACCAAGGCCGAAAAAAATAATTTATAAAGAAGAAGAAATGGGTGGTAAAATCTTAGATTATACATCAAATTAAATTAATATGAGTTGCAAAAACGTAAACCGAAATTGTTTGACGTAAAAGGCTTTGTAAAATCTAACCAAGTCGTCTGAAGTATCAAAAGAAATTCTTTCTTTTCACGCAAAATTAAGAAGACTCAAGGTCTTAATATACGAGGCCAGTAGAAATTCAAAATAAAAAAGGGATTTAAAAACCGTGTAACTCTAATTCGAGTAAGGCGGGGCAGTGTACCGCGGTGTAGCGGCGTCTTAGAATATCCATTACCCCATATCTTCCTGTGGGTGTCGTAAGAGGCCACAGAGGGAGGCAGGCAGGAGATGGGCAGCAGCATCTTCCTGATAACAACAATTAAACAAAAAAAAACTGCGGTTATCAACCCGCTCGCCAAGCGTGGCAACTATGGCAACCATGAGGAACGACACAGACTAACGGCCCCCAGTCCCCGGCGTCCCTGCTATTCCTGGCTACGATGGCGACCATGGTAACGGCGGGGCAGGGAGTGCTAAGAATCTCCGATGGAGGTTCGGTTGCCACCTACGACGACTTGATCTGGCAACATATAACGCACGCAACCCGAGGACTAACGAGAAGATACTGGAGCAGGAAGAATGGGTAGACAAGTTGCGCTGGCATATTATAGGATTATCCTAAGTCCGAAGAGAGGGGGAGGATACGGTAATCCTCGAATCCGGCAACTTGTTCTATCACCAGGAGGGCGTCCATCTGTCCCAACGAGGTGTCGGATTTATCGTCCACATGTCGCTCGTCAACAACGTTGTAAAGATTGAGAGTGTGTTGACGAGGGTTGCGTAGCTGATACTCAGAATCACCAAACGGTATTCGCTGAAG